TTTAACTTTGCATTGCAGAGCGCCCCAGGATGAAGCATTTCCAAGTACGTTAATTAATCTCATAAGAGCAGGCATTAGGTGTCTAGAGTAGGACCTGCCAAGAATAGGGAACATTGACGTTGTGGCAGGCTTATGCAACGTATGATCATATACTGTAACTAAACCTTCATTATTTTTGCCCAAGTTTGGATTTTTTTGTTAAAATTTTATACAATGCGACTTGTGTTTTTCTGAATTGGAATGCAAGATAGGGTTTCTTGGGGTAAATGGCATCGTGCACTGCAAGGCCTCTAATTTCAGGTAATTCTTGCTCTGATCTGTTTAAGATTATGGAAAGTTTTAGAGACAGTGAACTTATTTCACTAAAGGAAGATGAGTTAAATTATAGATAGCAGCTGCAAATATCATTTAGAGTAAAACTGATTACCTACACCTAGCAAAATTTGGCATACAATATGCTATTTCAGATATAATAGCAGGAGAGGCATTATAAAGGAAAAAAATTTAACAAAGGAAATGGCCACAATAATAGGCCTTATTAGAACAGGTATCTTCTAATAAATTCAATTTAAATTCAGATTTTATGCACCTACTGCGATTTTTACCATTCTTGTTTACATTAATATATTTATAGCACCAACAGTTTATGCAGAGTTTGATATGATGCTTAAAGGGACAATGAAACCTCATTTTGACAAACCAACAAAACTAATACATAAGGAATGATGTGCCTTGTCTTGTCAATTTCACTATCTAAAGGAAAAACTAAAGCGATAATTATGATCACAAAAAAGCTTCCTTCTTATCCCCCTTTTTAAAAATGTCTTACCCCCTTTAATGTATCTTATCCCCCATTTTCCCCATTGTGTGTCTTACACCTCCCTCTTACAACTCCCCTTTGTGTGTCTTTCTCCCCCCAGCCCCTTTGTGTCTCTCCTCTCCCAGCCCTTTTGTGTCTCTCCTCTCACAGCTCCTTTGTGTCTTTTACTTTTCCCAGCTCCTAGTGCAGTGATGGCGAACCTATGGCACGCGTGCCACAGGTGGCACGCCGAGCCCCCTCTGTGGGCACGCGGCCATAGGTCGCCGCAGGGATGGAGGGTGCGCTCCGCCGGCGCATCCATAAGGCGGCACAAGTGGCCGCCTTAGGGCGCACCGGCCCGGCGGGCGCAAAGCCGGAGTGACCGGCAGGAGGTGAGCGCATAGCGTTCCCTCCTGCCTGGCACTCTGTGTAGCGTGGCCGAGCGCGCCGCGGTACAGGAACTTATGGTTCCTGTACCCGGGCGGACGGAAATGAAGTGCTCACAGAGAGAGCACTTCCTGTCAGCCGGGTACAGGAAACATAAGTTCCTGTACCGCGGTGCGCTCGGCCACGCTACAAGGTAGGAGCTCAAGGAGGGGGGAACTGAGGGAGAGCTATGGGAGGAAGCAAAGTAAGAGAGAGCTTCCCAGCTGAAAAACTGGGGGAACTGAGGGAGAGCTATAGGGGGACTGAGGGAGAGCTATGGGAGGGTGGGAGGACTGAGGGAGAGCTATGGGAGGGGGACTGAGGGAGGAAGCATGGGAGGGTGGGGAACTGAGGGAGAGGCTTTCATGGGAGGCCGGGGAACTGAGAGAGAGATGGGGGAGACCTGAGTAGGGAAAGATGGGGGGGGAGACCTGAGTAGGGAGAAAAGATGGGGGAACTGAGGGAGAGCTATGGGGGAGGGCAGGGGAGGGTGTGGGGGGGGGAACTGAGTGGGAGAGATGGGGAAACTAAGTGGGAGAGAGATGGGGAGACTGGGGAGAGCTATGGGGGGGAACTGAGGGAGAGATATGGGGGAACTGAGTGGGAGATAGATGGGGGAAACTAGGTGGGAGAGAGATGGGAGGGAACTGAGGGAGAGCTATGGGGGGGAACTGAGGGAGAGCTATGGAGGGAACTGAGGGAGAGCCATGGGAGGGACTGAGGGAGAGCCATGGGAGGAACTGAGGAGAGCTATGGGAGAAGCTGAGTGGGAGAGATGGGGGAGACCTGAGTAGGAGAGAGATGGGGGAGGGAACTGAGGGAGAGCTATAGGGGAGGAAACTGAAAGGGAGAGCTATGGGGAACTTAGGGAGAGCTATGGGGGGAACTGAGTGGGAGAGAGATGGGGAAACTGAGTGGGGAGAGAGATAGGAAACTGAGTGGGAGAGAGATGGGGAAACTGAGGTGGGAGAGATGGGGGGAACTGAGGGAGAGAGATGGGGGGAGCTAAACTGAGTGGGAGAGAGATGGGGGAACTGAGTGGGAGAGAGATGGGGGGGCTAAACTGAGTGGGAGAGAGATGGGGGGCTAAACTGAGTGGGAGGAAACTGAGGGAGAGATATGGGGGGGAACTGAGTGGGAGAGAGATGGGAGGGAAACTGAGTGGGAGAGATGGGACGGAAACTGAGGGAGAGATGGGGGGGAACTGAGGGCGGTATAGGGGGAGAAAACTGAGTGTGGGACGTGGGGTGAGGGGGGACGACATACACACAGCACCCCTGCCCTACACATATCACCCCACACAAAGACACCCACACATCACCCTACCCACACATCACATCACATCACCCCACCCACACACACACACACACACAAACACATACAATGTACCCCTCAATGCAGTGTGTGTACACTCAGCAGTCTGTCTGTGTGTGTACACTCAGAAGTCTGTCTGTGTGTGTACACTCAGCAGTCTGTCTGTGTGTGTACACTCAGCAGTCTGTGTGTGTGTGTGTACACTCAGCAGTCTGTGTGTGTGTACACTCAGCAGTCTGTGTGTGTGTGTACACTCAGCAGTCTGTGTGTGTGTATTTAGCTGTGTGTGTGTGTGTACTCGGCAGTCTGTGTGTGTGTACTCGGCAGTCTGTGTGTGTGTGTGTGTGTATTTAGCAGTCTGTGTGTGTATTCAGCAGACTGTGTACTCAGCAGTCTGTGTGTGTATTCAGCAGTCTGCTAAATACAGACAGACTGCTAAGTACATAGACAGACTGCTAAGTACACAGACAGACTGCTAAATACACACACAGAGAGTTCGGACAACTGTATGAGTTGTTTTTTCGAAACTTAAACCTCAGTATTCAGGTTTAAATGCCGTTTTGGCACTTTGAGGGAAAAAAAATTGGCATGTATTACGGTTTGGGCACTCGGGCTCAAAAAGGTTCGCCATCACTGACCTAGTGTGTTTCTCTTTCACCACCAGCCCGTCTATCTCCCCTCAGACCCTTTGTGTCTCTTTTTCCTCTTCTCCAGTCACTCTGTGTCTCTTTCACCCCTTGCCCCTTTGTATTTCCACCCCCAGGCTCTTTGGTGTGTCACTTTCATCCCCAGCCAATCAGTATATCTTTCTCACCCCCAGGCACATCTGTGTGTATTTCTCCCCCCTCATGTCCCTCTGTGTGTCTTTCTCCCCACTCAGGCCCCCCTGTGTGCCACTCTCCCCTCCATGTCTACTAGTGTTCTTCTCCCATCCCCTTTCTGTCCATTAATGGTCCTCTTCCCTATCCCTTGGTGTTTTTCTTACCTCCCTTCCCTGACCCCTAGTGTTCCTCTTCACCTCCCTTTCCTGTCCCTTAATATTCCAATCCCATTCCTTCCCTGTCCCTTAGTGTTACTCTCCCCTCTCTTACTGCCCCCCCATTTCCCTTAATGTTCTTCCCACCCCCTCCGTCTAAGTGTTCCTCTTCCTTCTCTTTTAGTGGTCCCCCCCACCCCAGTGTTTCTTTTCCCTTCCCTCCCCTGTACCATAGTGCCCCCTCCCTTTAATGTTCCTCTCTCTCTAGTGTTTCTCTCCCCTCTCTTTTAGTGTACTTCCCCCCAATCCCCGGTCCCATGGTGTTCTTCCCCCCTCCCCTGTCCCATAGTGTTTTTTCCTACCCCATCCCTTCTCCCATAGTGTTCTTTCCCTCCCTCCCCTGTCCCATAGTGTTCTTCGTTCCCCTTCCCTGTCGCATTGTGTTCTTTCCCCCCATCCCATAGTGTTCTTCCCCTTCCCCCTCCTTTGTCCTATAGTGTTCTTTCCCCTCTGAGCCCTTGTCCCATAATTCCACAGTGATACAGAGACAGAAACAGCAAGAGTTTTTGCATAGTGCGCAAAGTCAGCTTTACTTTAAGTAATTTAATTGTCAGCCAGTCCACACAAGCTTTGTTCCCCTACATCCCTCTTAAGTTTCCATACTTAAGCAAGAGCATATGGAGTAGTAAAAAAAAAAAAAAAACATGTTTAATTTTTTATTTTATTTATGGGCCTATTCCATGGGCATGAGCCAGTAGCTGCAGCATCATCAACCCCTGTGTTAATCCGCCCCTTGCTGGGGGAATGAGACACATAGGGGATTGAGATGCATGGATGGGCTGTGGGACACACAAAGCAACATAGAGGGGCGGGGGGAGAAAGACACAAGGTGCTGGGGGGAAGTGACCCATAAATTGGGTTATGGAGAGAGACACATAGAGGGAAGGGGGGGAGGACAAAGAGCCACAGAGGGGCTGGGGGGAAGACACGCAAAGGGGCTGGGGGGAAACAAAGAGATACAGAGGGACTGGGGAAGGGGCAAAAGAGGCTTTAACTAAACCCATTAGATTTTAGGTGTGTAGAGTAAAATCTATTGTAGATTTTGTTGACTAAAGCTAGCCTAAAACTAAAAGAATTAAGATGACTAAAATATGACTAAAACTAACATGGCTTTTTAGTCAAAAGACTATGACTAAAACTACATTAGAATTTGCTGCCAAAATTAACACTGGTTGCCTGGTCTAATGAATTATGTTTTCTTTTAGATCAGGTGGATGACTGGGTGTGTGTGCATTATTTACCTGTGGAAGAGATGACAATAGGATGCACTATGGGAAGAAGACACGCCAACGGAGGCAGTGTTATGTTCTGAGCAAAGTTTTGCTGGGAAACCTTGAGTCCTGGCATTAATGTGGATGCTACTTTGACATATAACACCTACGTAGAGACTGTTGCAGACCACGTACACCCCTTCATGGCAATGATGTTCCCTGATGACAGTGGCCACTTTCAGCAGGATAATATACCCTACCATGCTGCAAAAAGTGTTCATGGCTGGTTTTACAAACATGTGAAAGAGTTCAGGGTGTTGCCTTGGCCTCCTAATTCCCCAGGTCCCCCCATTTGAACATCTGTGGATTGTGATGGAACAACAAATCCAATCCATGGAGGCCCCACCTCACAACTTGCAGGATCTAAATATCTGCTGCTCATATTTTTGTGCCAGATACCACAGGATACGTTTAGAGATCTTATGGAGCCCATGCCTTGACGCATCAGATCTGTTTTGGCAACATGATCTGTTTACACATCATTAGGCAGGTGATTTTAATGTTGTGGCTGATCAGTGTATAACAATCATTAGCAGGGACATATTTATATCTTAAGTGCTTTTTGTAACATAATTCTCAGGACACCCAAGAAATCCACCCAAGAAATCTACTGAGTTGTAGAAATTTTCAAATTAGCTAATTTTAGCCTAATTTTTACCATTTATAGTTTAGCAAATAAAGCTGATATATCTCATCTAGACCTAATGACTTAATGCTAATTATTTATCCTCCTAAATTAAGCACTCTCTTTTATTTATAAAACCTTCGTATTTTACTTGGAATTATGTCCCATAGCTGAGTAATGAAGGGACAGCAATGTCCAAAAATACCAGCTTGTTGTAAGGGTTCCTGAACGGCTGAAGGAAGGGATTTCGTGGAGGTAAACGGTCAGGTTACCCGGGGATCCACTACAACTGGTGGCAAGCGGCGGAATCATACTTCCCAGTCAAAAGGAACCAGCGACCCATTAATCGAACAGGCAAGGCACCCAGCTACACTGAGGTGGAGTTGGACCAGAGGCTGAAGAAGATACTGGCTTACTTTGGGCCCAATCCCGCCGAGAAATATGTATACACATGATGAAACGTACCTGCAGCACCAAGCAGAATGGCAGGCACAGGGAGAGAAGCATTCTGTCCCTCCTCCCCAGCGGCAGTGTGGGGTTCAGGGAACAGAGATACCTGGTCTTGTTACCCAGCAGCTGGTTCCAGAGACTGGAGATTTGATAGACTTCACACAGGAGATCCAGGGAGCGAAGTGTTCCATCCTTCCTCCATAGCAGCTGTGTGAGGTCCAGGGAACAGAGACACCCGGTCTTGTTTCCCAGCAGCAGGTTCCTGAGTCTGGAGTCTTGATAGACTTCACACAGGACGTCCACGGAGAGAAGTGTTCCATCCTTCCTCCCCAGCGGCAATATGAGGTGCAGGGAGCGGAGACAACCGATCTCATTCCCCAGCGGCAGTGTGAGGTGCAGGGAGCGAAGACAACAGATCGCGTCCCCCAGTGGCAGTCTGAGGTGCAGGGGCTGCTGTGTCCCTCTTCCATTTCACCCACCCCATGAGCTTCTTGGGATTGAAACCCCTGTTGTTTTGTGATGGAGACCCCATGTAGGGGTCTGTGCATGTAAAACCATGTGTGACAATAAACAAAGTCAGTAATTGTTGTACCTCCAGAGCTAGGTCTTGTCCAGTTACTGGGGGGGAAGAAAGAGTTAATCCCTGTGCCAGCTTGTCGCAGCTGGTGGAAGATGCTGTGGGGAAAGTCCTTGTAAGGACTGGAGAGCTCCCGGGACTGAATGACGTCCAGCCCCTGGGAGCGCAGAGAGCTAGTTCCCCTATCCGTCCCCCTGTTCCAGCTAGGAAGCGGTCCCTGTAATGGAGGTAACCGGTTGGGTTGCCAAAGGGGTCTGTTACAGTGAGCACTGAGAATTACTAAATAAACTAAATCTAAATCCACAATACACATATTTACAATGTATAAGGATTATAAATATGGTTACCATACCATTTGCCATAGAAGAGACCGTTTTGAGGTTCAGTACAATATACAGATAACAGCAGAAAGAAAAAATTATTTCAAGCATTTTTTCAAACAATCTTTCAAGGCTATTTTAAAAGCACAGATCTCATAGTCAATTTATTCTGTAGGGATTTAGTCACACTACGGCAAAAACTCTGGCAATAGTGACCGGTATCTCTATTTTCTTTACACAGCACCTTCCATAGCAGTCTGAGTCCGGGAGCACAGGATTTGGCAACACATAAAGGGGGAGATTTATTAACAGACAGTTTTGTGCCTTTTCATCTTTTTAAAAAAAATATTTTATCTGGTGTATGGTTTGTGCCATAATTTTTTAATGTATTGCAATGCAATGGCTTTATCAATATCTCCGTCAGCTCAAATCTCATCATGGTATGCTCATTTAATAAACCTAATGACTAAGTACTGATAGGTATGATATACATTCAGAGTTACTAAACTAAACTGAGAATTGTTGGGAACTCAAGTGAATATCACAGTTAAAGGTACACTATAGTCACTAAAACAACTTTAGCTTAATGAAGCAGTTCTTGTTTATAGATCATGCCTCTGAAGTCTCACTGTTCAATTATCTGCCACTTAGGAGTAACAGTAAGGGAGAAAAGTATTTGATTCCCTGCTGATTTTAAAGGACCACTATAGGCACCCAGACCACTTCAGCTTAATGAAGTGGTCTGGGTGCCAGGTCCATCTAGGATTAACTCTGCCTGCTGTAAACATAGCAGTTTCAAAGAAGCTGCTATGTTTGCAAATGGGTTATTCCAGCCTCTAGTGGCTGTCTCACTGACAGCCGCTAGAGGCGCTTCCGCGCTTCTCACTGTGATTTTCACAGTGAGAAGACACCAGAGTCCATAGGAAAGCATTGAGAATGCTTTCCTATGAGACTGGCTGAATGCGCGCGCAGCTCTTGCCGCGCATGCGCATTCAGCCGATGACGGCAGAAGAAGGAGGAGATTCCCCAACCCCCGGGAGCCCGTCGCTGGAGAAAGGTAAGCGTTTAACCCCTTCCTACCCCTAGAGCCTGGCAGAAGTGGGGCCCAGAGGGTGAGGGTGACCCAAGGACCCTATAGAGCCAGGAAAACGAGTATGTTTTCCTGGCACTATAGTGGTCCTTTAATGTTTGTCCACTGACAAAGACATGTTCAGTCTATAATTTTAATGGAAGGTGCAATTTAACAGTGAGAGACAGAATAACAAAAAAAAAAAAAATCCAGATAACCGTATCTCAAAAAAGTTATAAATTGATTTGCATGTCAATGAGTGAAATAAGTATTTGATCCCCTATCAATCAGCAAGATTTCTGGCTCCCAGGTGTCTTTTATACAGGTAACGAGCTGAGATTAGGAGCACGCTCTTAAAGAGAGTGCTCCTAATCTCAGCTCGGTTCCTGTATAAAAAACACCTGTCCACAGAAGCAATCTATCGATCAGATTCCAAACTCTCCATCAAGATCAAAGAGCTGTCCAAGGATGTCAGGGACAAGATTGTAGACCTACACAAGGCTGGAACAGGCTATAAGACCATTGCCAAACAGCTTAGTGAGAAGGTGACAACAGTTGGTGTGATTATCTGCAAATGGAAGAAACACAAAATAACTGTCATTCTCCCTCGGTCTGGTCCTCTCACCTCATGGAGTTTCAGTGATCATGAGAATGGTGAGGAATCAGTCCAGAGCTACACAGGAGGATCTTGTTAATGATCTCAAGGCAGCTGGGACCATAGTGACCAAGAAAACAATTGGTAACACACTATGAAGGACTGAAATCCTGCAGCACCCGCAAGGTTCCCCTGCTCAAGATAGCACATGTACAGGCCCATCTGAAGTTTGCCAATGAACATCTGAATTATTCAAAGGAGAACTGGGTAAAAGTGTTGTGGGCAGATGAGACCAAAATTGAGCTTTTCGGCATCAATTCAACTTGCTGGGTTTGGAGGAGAAGGAATGCTGTCTATGACCCCAAGAACACCACCCCCACCATCAAACATGGAGGTGAAAACATTCTACTTTGGGGGTGTTTTTCTGCTAAGGCGACAGGACAACTGCACCGCATCAAAGGGACGATGGACGGGGCCATGTTCCATCTAATCTTGGGTGAGATCCTCCTTCCCTCAGCCAGGGCATTGAAAAACGGGTCGTGGATGGGTATTGCAGCATGACAATGACCCAAAACATACAGCCAAGGCAACAAAGGAGTGGCTCAAGAAGAAGCACATTAAGTTCCTGGATTGGCCTAGCCAGTCTCCAGACCTTAATCCCATAGAAAATCTGTGGAGGGAGCTGAAGGTTCGCGTTACCAAAGGTCAGCCTCTAAACCTTAATGACTTGGGGAGGATCTGCAAAGAGGAGTGGGACAAAATCCCTCCTGAGATGTGTGCAAATCTGATGGCCGACTGTGACCCCATTTCTCCCAGTGTCCCCAAATGTCTCTGTCCCCATGTCTCCCAGTGTCCCCATGTCTGTATCCACAAGTACCCCCATGTGTCCCCAAGTGTCTCAGTGCCTCCATGTCTCCCAGTGTCCCCAAGTGTCTGTGTCCCCAGGTCTCTCAGTGTCCCTATGTCTCACTGTGTCTCCATGTCTCTCAGTGTCCCCTAGTACCCTAGTGACATGGGACACACTGAGACATAGGGACACTGGGAGAAATGGGGACAAAGACACTGGGAGACTAGGGGCTGGGCGACATGGGGACACTGACACTGTGATACATAGGGACACTGATGCCAGGCTGGCCTTCCAATTCTTTGGACAGACATGCCCACTTTTTTGGGCATGTTCGCCCCTTTTCGTAGTTCTGGTCACGTGATTTGCATCAGTGGCCCACCCTTTTACCCCGCCCATTGACTTCCTGCTTCACTGGACACTGCTGTTAGGGGGTATGGATTTACTTGAAGATGAAAGCATAAATTAGAGAGAACAATGGGCTGGCTGCACTCACCTGAACATGCGTAAATGGGGTGCTGCCTGGGGGCCAATAAGTACATTAAAAATGAAAATCCAGCGCACTCCCTTATCTACTAAACAGCTACTTTGGTGCTGACAGATTTTGCTAGTTTTATTAAAAACACCTAATCTAGGCAAAAAATAATGGGGGTTTAGTTACATTATATGATCATACATTGCATAAGCCTGCCACAACGTCAATGTACCCCATGTTTGGCAGGTCCTACTCTTACAACCAACTGTCTACTAAATGAGCTATTCATTTGGGGAAATCCTTCCATCTTAAGTTCTCTGCAGTACAAGGCTAAATAGGGTCCTGAGATGAGGCACCTGTGACAGGGAGGGGTGCAAAACCAAGGAGCTGGCTAGACTCCTAAATATATATGGGAAAACAAGGGCTGGCTGCACTCACCTGAACATGCTTAAATGGGGTGC